AATTTCCACCTTTCAGAAGGTAAACCATTACTCCCTGCTTCTTAAGTTTAAGCTATAGACTGTGATTTTCTTCCAAGTGTATAATATGGAAAGAAAAACAAAGAGTAACTTTAATAAACACTACTTCAAGTAGGTGATCAAGGTCAACATCAACAGTGATAAGTCTTATAGTTAGTATATATCCTTGATGTCATGTGATGAGATTGGTATTTTAACTCTATGGTCTTTTTCCCCAAAACACATTATCCTATCATAGCCATGATAAAAATATTACATATCTATACTAATAAAAGGGTAATATGCAAATTGGTCACGATGCCCTCACAGTCACAAACGGATATTCTAATTAGTCATGGCCAGTATGCAAATTGACCATCACTCCAACACACAAGATGGCCGCCCTCATGTGGTCAAAGATGGCCACCCCCATGTGGCCACAAGATGGCCTGCAAGGGAGGGCAGTTGTGAGTGATCAGACTAGCAGGGGAGGGCAGTTAGGGGTGACCAGGCCAGTAGGGGAGGGCAGTTGGGGATGACCAAGCCAGCAGGGGTGGGCAGTTGGGGATGACTGGGCTGGCAGGGGAGGGCAGTTTGGGGCAATTGGGCAGGCAGGGGAACAGTTAGACATCGATCAGCCTGGCAGGGTAGTGGTTAGGGGGTGATCAAGCTGGCAGGCAGGCAAGCTGTTGGGAGCCAGCAGTCCTGGATTGGGCCTAAACGGGCAGTCAGACATCCCTCAAGGGGTCCCAGATTGGAGAGGGTGCAGGCTGGGCTGAGGGACTCCCACCAGTGCACAAATTTTGTGCACCGGGCCTCTAGTATCTATATAAAGAACATTCTACAAAATAGCTAACTCAAAAAAATATATATCAAGATTATAGAAAAAAACAACAACACAGAAAAGTTTGAGAAACTTTCACACCTAAGAGAAAACTAAGAAGACAAGATGGTTAAATGTAACATGGTGCCCTGAATGGGACCCTGGGATAGAAAATGACATTATAAAATAACGAAGGAAACCTAAACAATGTCTGGACTGTAGGTAATAGTAACATATAAATATTTGTTTATTAAATGTGACAAATATACCATATTAATGTAAAATATTACTAATAGGGGAGATTGGGTGTGGGGTATCCAGGAATCTTCTGTACTATTTTGGCAATAATTATACAAATCTAAAACTGTTCTAGATAGAAGCTTTACTAAAAAATAAACAAAAAAGCACAACTGGTGTATTTGAAACCAGGAGGAGGGGGGCAAATGCCCATCACCTCTATTGCCACATCTCCAGTCCATTGGCAGCCTCTGAAGCAACCTTTACCCCAGGGATTCCTTGCAGTATGACCCATAAACCTTTGCATTTAAATGCCACTAAGACTAGACAATAAAAATAGAAGTATTACTGAGGTCTAGTAAATGGCAAATCTATTCATTTCTCTTTTTCTTCAAGGTCTGTTCATCTATTAAGATAATTTTTTTTGTATAATCTTTTCTTTAAAGGGTCAAGTTGAATGCTGACCAATACACTGACCTTAGAGTTCAAGAGCACTTGATATTTTCTCCAATGTATCTAAAACGTGTTAAGTCAATTGGTTTATAATTCTGCAATTCTGCAAAGGAGAAGCTATGATGTTGATGATGAATTATTAATACTGTAGAATCCTACATCTTATCTGAATTTACATGATCTTCTTGTCCATAAAATAATAAAATACTAATAAAAATAAATCTGATGTAACTCATGTGATAATATGACTGGCATTACCAGTAAGTGGAAGTGTCAGATGGAACATGCTATTATAAATCCCAAAGTTTTAATGAAAAGTTATTTAAAGCACACAATAAAAAAAACATTATCAGAAATAATGAATTGGAAACAGTATATATTAATTAATAGCATTTCCCAACTTTTGAAATGTTTATCAGGTTAAATATTTGCTTTAAGTTAATATGTAGCATTGGTAATTAAAGATTAGATGATAAATCTTGGTAAAGTCATTTTGCCATTCTTTTAAAGGCACTACAGCTAAACCTTTAAGATCACCGGACAATTAGAATGATGCCCTACCAGCAGAATTCTGACCTGGTCACCAGATTCTCACTACTCTTAAGTAGAGTTTTCCATCTCACTCAGGAGCATCTTTCATGACAAGTATTTGAGTGCTTAATAGGGCAGAGAACAAGGAGATATGGCTATATTTTGACCTCCTTGCTAATAGATGTTGGCATATGTTTGAATGTTTTGTGTTCCACATTATCTGATAGAAAAGTTACAAGGAAGGACTCCTATAGCTTTAAATTCTTCCAACTCATTGGAGGTTCACAATACTTATCCAATAACTATGAATGATCAAATGACTTGGTCCAAAACTTTCATGAAAACATAGAACATCAATAAAGTTTAGAATATGTACTCTATTCATTAAAGAAACAGAACCAATGGGATATGTGTATACATTTACATATAAACATGTTTTTGCATATATACATGCACACATGTTTACACAGGATGCAGAAGGCAAATGCAGTCAGGCAATTTTAGGATGTGGAAGAAATATAAACCAATTACTAAATTTTACAGATGAGAAAACTAAAATCTTATTTACTTGGTTTTCTAAAGTTTAAGTGTCTCACTAAAGAACAATCCAAGATACTGTTCCTTTGAGAATCTTTTTGCCTCTTTCCTTTTTACCAATAATGACAAAGATTCATAATAGGTACCTATTACAATAGGTACTCTAAACAAGTTCCAGTACTTGTTTTGAATGTCACAATGAAAAGATTTTTTAAGCCATACTTTGGCTTCTTAAAAAATAATTCCTTGAATTGATTAGTGAGGTGCCATGAGAGAGGGAGTAATCACATTGTTGCCACATATTTGCTATTACTGTCCTCACATCAGGTGCCATGGGTTAGAGGGAAATAGAATGAGCTTCATCTAAGTGGGTTATTTTTTTAATTATAGCAATGATTGCTTGGGGGGATAATGATAAATTCACTATTTCAGGGAAATTAATTTGGTGGCAGTTCTCTGAATAGTCACAAAAGATATTCAGTACTTTTAAAGCTGGAATTCTAATGGGAGTGCTACTGTGTGGTGCAACCTGAGGAGTGAGTGAACCCAGATGTTGCCATTTGAATCAGAAATTAAAACATGGATAAAAGGCAACGACCTGTAAGAAATATAAGGACAATTTATATTCTACAGTTTTCTCCACTCTATCCACAGTGCCTAGAAAACTACCTGGAGCAGAGCTAAAGATCACTCAATTTTTTTTAGTAAAACCCAGTTACAGAGACATATTTCCACAAAAAACAACTAGGGAAAGTGGAAATTATTTTATCCTGCTAGTGGAGGCAGTTAGTGCAGCCAATCTATTACACAGATTAAAGGATAGTTCAGAGATAATTTTTAAAAAATAAACCATAGCATCAGAAGTCCATACCACATTAGCTTATTATTAATAAAGATAATAAAGTAAATCGATACAGGATTGGCTTTACCTCCTTGTTGGCAAGAGTATTCTAGAAAGTTGGAACTGTTCCATAATACCCTTAGCTATTTAAGATTAATTAAAATGTTTTAAGGAACATGCACACACATTTCATTCCCTGAAATAATTTATAACACATAAGATAGATAATAAATGTCAAAACAATTATCTCTAAGATCATAGCTATACCACTCCTAGGAGCTTTGTAGTTGGCATTAGATCAGTCCCCTACGGGGGTTGAGAAAGATGAGTTACAAGCTTGAGAGCTATTCCAGGTGCAGTGGCTGACAGCAGAGATTTGCCTATAAAGGCAAAATATTGTACCCAAGTTATTGTAGCCATCTCAGTTGTGGCTCAGGGTGTCTGTCATGTCAGAACTCCCCCCAAAACGAATAAGTGCCCAGGGCATTTGAACCAAGCTTGAGTTTGGGAACTTGGGCTTGGCATTTAACTTGGCACATGAAATATGACTTGCAGGCAAAAGGTCTTGCTGCATAGAAAGATAAATATAATTCCTTCCAAGGCAAAGGTGGAACAAATAAATGTTCCTAGGAAACATATTGAAGAGCCCAAACTGAGAGGTATAGTGAGAGATACTGGAAAGAAGGGATGTTTGGTATGGCATAGTGGATATTCAGCCTAGAGAGCATCCCTTAGACACCAGATTGGGAAATTTTATCCTCAGTTATCATCTTTTCTGGGGTATTAAGGGATGCAAACCTGTTCAGACACAAGAGAAAATAAACCAAAATTCCCAAATGGAGACCAGAGTCCAACAATAGGCAATTCTCAGAAGATAAGAGGCTGATAAGATCTAGGAAGGATTCTCCCCAGAAAACAGGTTGCAGCCCCGAGTCAGGGTCTCAGAGTAGATGTCCAGTTCTCAGGAAAGAGTCCAAGGGAGACTAATGACCTTTCACCTTAGTAAACTCAGAAATTAGATACTCAGAAATTAGAAATTTGGGGATGTAATTAGATTAGGGACACACACATTTCCAAAATCTAAACTACATGATGTGGGACATGAAGCATGTTATCAAAATAGAGACACCGCAAGGCCATGAGCTATGATTCAGGGAACATCTTGAAACCCAGAAAACAGCCGTGGAACAGTGTGTCCAGAATCAAGTTTTCAACAAAGGGAAATAGGGGCAGAGCTAGGAAAGATGGTGTCAGTGTGCAAACATTTCTTGGGCCATGTTAATAGGGAGGGAAACATCATTTTTAGACCAAATATATGGAGATTGAGTAGGATAACTATTTCTTGGCAGTACTAGGAAAAGGCAATAGTCTACAAAAAGGTAATGATTGGTCTTAACTTTATAAAATTCAGAAGCTCAAAGTCAGGAGCAAAACTGGGAACTGATTAATGACACTGGAAAATCAAAGTTTTCAAAGCACAATTGTCCCTTTTAAACCCCATCTGATTGTGCACATCAAATCACAACTATCCTTATTTCAACAAATTACAGGTCAATTCTTTTAGATTTGCATTGTATGCTCTTCAAAATTCTGTGCGGAACTGCAGTGTACTTCCAGACATTTCCTTCCTATAAATGGCATCAAATTTCTCATTTTGGGCCACTGTGAAGTAATTCTTCCAGTCACCTGCAATCCCTAAAAATAAGAAATACAAAAACATGTGAAGGAATAAAATATTTTCATTATGAAGGTACAGCTAGCATATACCAAAAGAAAAGATTAGAAAAGTTGAAGAAAGACTTTCTTTGTATCTGAATACTTTAAAATATCATTTCTCTTTTACTGGTAATTCCTCCCACCTAGAAGGTGACTTATAACTATAGAGTCCAACATTTAAAGACACTTTCTGAGAAGGATTAATTTTCTTGTACAAATTTATGGGATGTACAATGTGGAGTTTCCTGAAAGAAATCCTTTTAGAGTTTATAAATTTCCCAAGTTATCCTATATAATAAAAGGGCAGCAACCATAATGACCAGAATGACCACTCAACCAGTAGCTATGAAGTGCATTGACCACCTCTCAGTCCCTTCCCCACCCCCTGGCCTGCAGGTTCCGATCGCAGCATGGCAAATGGGGAGCCATAGGGAACCAAGTGGTTGGCGGTGACTGGGTGGAAGATGGCCCTGATTGCAGGCTAGGCCTAGGGATGCTAACTGTGCATGATTTCATGCACTGGGCCTCTAGTGGATTATAACTGGACACTGGTCAGGCATATTTTATTCCATGAGTTACTTTTGGAAACTGTACAAAGAAGTGGTCAACAGCACAACCAAACCATAAAATAGAGAGCTAATAAGTATCAGTTCATACTTATGCATACATGAGAATGCTATGATGCTTATATGATACTTGTTATTTCTGAGTTCAGTAGACTTATATCATATTTGCATTTTAGATGAGAAGAATAGCATCAGACATAACATTCCTGAACTATCTTTACAAAAATAACCTTTTGTGATATAAATTTATTTAGTTTCTTAAACTTGGATTCTTATATTTATTACTGTTAATGTGCTTGGAGGAAACATTTACTTTGCTATATTATGAAATATTAAATATGTCCTATTGCATTGTATCTATATTAACTTGTGATGGTTTGGTGAAGATTTCAAGCCCTTTTAATGAAAAACATCCCCTTAAGTTGTTTCCCTAGTTATTATTCTTTGTTCTATGAGTATGTGATGGCAAGAGCTCTTAGGGATGTATATGAGGGTAGTGTATATTCAAGATAGTACATATGTGAAGATATTAAAAAACAGAGAGCACAGGTTTAAACAGTAAAGACTCATATAAAGTACTCCGACGATCTTCTGTTTTGAATATAAATTAACACATATAAATATATTTGCATTATAAGAGTAAGGAAAGTGTAAAAATGTTTTCAGATACAATAAATGTTGGCCAAAGCCCAGATTTTTCTGCTTTGTTGCAATTTGGGACACAGGTATAAATATTGGACATCATTTATCCTGTCCCTACTACCTTTACTACTGTGTGGCTAAATTATAACATTGGTTTATTCGACATAGAATTCTTCAAGACTTGAATGGCCCTTTGAGCCCTTTTCAGCATCCATTTACATGTATGTCTCTTGCAATGCATTATGAGCCTCCTGAAGCAGATGCATGTGCCATTCAACCTTGCATATTCTACAGGATATGTGCTAACTATAGATATTTATGAAATTTTCCCTACATACAACTTAATGAATGAGTGTGTATTCTTTAAATGTTTATTGAATGCATGAATAAATAAATGGATAGAGGTATCTTGAATTGTTTAAAGTAATAAGGCTTGCTACTTTTTAATGTATTATTTATGATCAGAAAAATATTCCAAATGCTTATGTATCATTTACCTTAATCTTCCTCCAAAACCTGTGCCATAGATGTTAGTACTCTCTCCATATTTTTAGTGATGTAATCTTAGTTTTGGCAGATTAATTAATGTATTCAAAGTCATAAATTTTGGGAGTGGCAGAGTCTGGACAAATTTCAGGTCAATCTGACCATATAGGACATGTCCTTTACCATTTCTGAAGGGCATATAAGAACTGTCTCTCTTATTAGGCAACATGCGCTCTTTTAGGTTGAAGTCGGAGAAACCATCTGATTCAGATACTGAACTTATCTCCTCTATTGCTATATTCTAATGAGAATCATGCAATGGTATCAATTTTCATATTATTGGGGATAAAACTATTCTAGAAATTTCAGTCAATGACCTGGCATAAAATATTTGCCTTGTTTTATAAAGTTTTTCTTCTTAGTCTCCCATCAGAAAATGTGTGTGTGTATTATTAGTTTTCTTTGTTCAAATTTGTAATGCACTATTCACAATGAAAAATTTGCTTTGCCTTCTTATACCAGAAGTCGTTTTTGAAAGGTTAAATGTAGCATTTTTAAAAATCAAACACAATTTTAAAACACTGAAACTATTTTCCATTTTAGTAAATTCTGGAGGAAAATGTTTTATAAAAAATTTAACCATATACTCTTTCAAAATTAAGGGTTTTCTCTATACATTTCTATCCCCAATACTTTCCCAGGATTGTGTTTACTTCCCAGTGCATCAACTGAAATTCTACCCTTTCCCTCCAATTCAGTAAAGAATATTGAAAACAGAGGGTGGTATTATTAAGTGGATAACTTCTCAAATTTGTTTAAGTTAATAATTTGTTAAATGCATTATTTTTGTCATTAATAAAACATTTTAACACAAATCATATACAACAAGCCACAATAGAAGTAAAACATTTTAACACAAATTATATACAACAAGCCACAATGGAAGTAAGTTTTAGGTAGCAAAACTTCCCATAGTGTAAAAAAAAAAAAGTATTTTCTCTTGGTGAATCCTTTTTAACAAAGTTTCCTAAATAATATGGGGACTTTAAAGAACATGGTACTATAAGGAATGACATTAGTTTCTCAATGAGAAGGAGGTCTATGCCTATTTAGCAAAGATTGAGGATTTAGATATAACAAATTTGGAATGACTCACATTAGAACTGACAAAACCACTCCCATGTAGCAGAGTAGCAAATACAAGGAGAAATATGTATCAAATACTCAAGGTATTCTGACAATAGGTTTATAAGCTCTATTTCCTTTAATAATTTCTAATCTGATTCAGCAATGTTGTGTGGTTAGTATTTTTAGTGTCCTTATTTTATAGATGAGGAAATTGATAACCAAATTGGTTAAGTAATTTGGAAGAGATCACAAAGTTAATCCTAATTTCAGAGTAATACATAACAAAATAAAAACAAAAGTTAAACTTAGAAAAATATTCACCTTTGCGCATAAAAGGGGATTTACTGTGATCCATCACTGAACTTGGTATATGTGTATAATTCACCAGAGGGTTGTCCTTCATCATTCCAAATGAGGTGTGATGGATGATCTTATTTAAGATCTCATCATTTAGGTTTTTCTCTAGAAATGTAGCAATCTTCTTGATTTCCTGCATTGGATTCTATTAGTGGGTAAAGAGACATATCCAAGAAAATGGTAAACATAATGTAAAAACTATAATATTTATAATATGTATTCACAAATGTTTATTTTGAATAGTGAATCAATATTTTATGTTTAGCAAAAATGGAATAGAAATGTTTTGTTTGTTACAAATCTTATATTTTTAGTTTACATTAACAGTACAATAAGAATAAACCTTGAGCTAAATATTAAAATACTTATAGAAAACAATCTTAAAACCCATATTAAGCTCAATTTGTAATCAGATTTGAATTGTGCATGTTTGAGACCCAGTATCTTTTTATTCTTTCCACCTCTCTTTTTCTGCTTTTAATAAAAACTTATTTTACCCAACCAGTGTGGCTCAGGGGTTGAGTGTCGACCAAGAGGTCACTGGTTCAATTCCTGGTCAGGGTATATGCCCGGGTTGTGAGCTCAATCCCCAGTAGGGGGCATGCAGGAGGCGCCAATCAATGATGCTTCTCTCTAATCGATGTTTCTATCTCTGTATCCTTCTCCTGTCTCTCTCCAAAAAAAATCAATAGAGACATATTTTTAAATTTTTCTTTCTTGTTTTTAGTAACAATATTTAAAAACAAAAATAATAAATTCATGGACAACTTCAAGTATACTTGCTTTAAGGTATACTGATTAGACCTTGCTTAGACATAAATTATTAAAAATAAACTCTAATAAAAGAGCAAAGTCATTGAGACCTAAATTATCCATTAGCCATTGAGGATAAAAAGAATAAAATATAAAAAATGGGTCATTTTCCAGATTCTAATGACATAAACTTAATTTTTATAGCTTGCTAGGATGCCAAACTAAAATCTGGATGAATATGTCTAGAAAGATTTTGAGGAAGTGATATCTATGCTGAGTTTAAAATGGTGAATATAATTTAGCAACATGTGTGGTCTTTTGAGGTGTTGGACAGTGAATTTTCAATAATGAAAAAATTAAAACTCTTGGAGGTATTAGTGTCTCATAGTTCAAGGGAGAAAAAAACACACAAAATGGTTGGAGTTAGATCTGAGTTTTTTGTAGGAGTGAGAGAACTATAAAACTGGAAAGATAAGTTGGGTTTAAATTAGGAATATCCTTAGATATCTTGTTGAAGGATTTGGGCTGTATCTGTAATGGCAAAGGAAAGAAACAGCTTTTAATAATGTGTCTTATTAACTCTGTGCCTGTATGTGTGCACATGCATTTATACACATGCCAGAGGCTAAAACCAACAGTAGTTAGCATATTAATGCAAAAAGACCCATTGGAAGGCCAATATTCATCAGGGTTGAAAATCAGCATGATATTGTCCTGCTGTGGGCTCAATGCTGAAGGCAATTCCCTAACCTGATAATCCTTTTACTGTTTACCAAACTTTACGTTTGATATGCCTGTATGCATTGCTAAGTGCAAATGTGTATTCAGGTAAATAAAAAGCAGACCAGCCAGAAGTCAGAGAACTTCTTCTCTAGAGAGAGGTTTCCCCATGCCTTCTAAATTTATATTTCTTGTCTAGTGTTTTCATTTGTGCGTGGCCCTGTCTTCAGATCCTGAATCCTCACTGCAAAAGGTTGCGGCATACACACGTGTATGTTTTGGCAGGGAGGTCTCTAGAAGGGAAGTTATGATAATATTTTATGTGTGAGACCTTGATGAGAGAAAAATAAAATGGCTAATTAAGGGGTGGCAATGCTTAGACTGAGTAAAAAGTCAGAAATGATGATAGTGAAGAAAAAGCCAAAAGAAAAATTAGTAGCAGTACTAGGAAAACACCTAGATGAACAGGCAAATAGAGAGCAATTTCTCTTAGGGATTCAATATGTTTGGAGAATAATCTGGCCATAATCAAAGTATCAATGGAGATTTTGCTTTATAAACCAGCACAAATTCAAATACAGGGTGCTGACTCCTCTTGAATCTCCCTCTCCTGCATTTCTCTTTCACCTCATTGAGAATTTATGCAGACACTCATAAACTAGATGCAACTAATTAGGCATCTCTCTGAATTTTATTCTTGATATGTAATTGTAATTTTGCTCTAATATTGTTGTATTATACCTCTATAAAACATTGTCTAGGAATATCTGTATGGCAGTAGAAAACATTATATTTTAGTAATTATTATCTGTGTAGAAGATCTGAGTGGGATTCAAGTATCTGGATATGCTTACAAAGCTGATTGGACTACACTGCAAATCAATCAATATAAATGAGTTGATTTAAATAAGGCATGTTAACTGAATAAAGAGGAAATGTTGACACCAGAGCGTCATGTGGAAGACAGCATGATGCGTGACTCAGAATTTGGATGTCAGCCCAGATCAGGAAATGTATTTCTCCATTCTGTGGAGAAAAGGAACTATATTAAGAAGCAAAAATTGCTCTTTTCATAAAGCTAACAAGTGCTACTCATGTGTGCAGAAAGAGAGATAGCACTTGAAACAGAAGAACAATTTTCTATCTTATAAAGAATAAGTAATTGAATATGATTAATCAATACCACTTTAGTTTTACAGCTGTGTATGCCACCAAGTTGGCATCAATTGCCTCAAACACTGGTAAGATTTAGACCACAGATTCTCCATGGGCTGCAAACAAGTGTGACAGAGGTGGGAGCCTGTGCAGAACAGAAACACTGAGGACTCTTTTTGATAAGATATGAGAAATAATCTGGGGGTTAATCAGAAATACGTGGAGCAGGGGAGATTTTACGGGAACATGATTTCTGGTATGCAAAATAGGATTGTCACTAAAATGTTTCTTAATACTGCTTACTCATTTATTTATTAACTCATTCAAGCAATCCATTATTCACACAATATAGGTGCTATATTAGGTATTGTGGATGCAATCACAAGAATAGTAGCTATGGTATCTTCCTTCATGAACCTGAAAATCTAAAAAGTATTCTCATTTGTATGCCCAGGCTTTTAAGAACTAGAGAAACTTGATTTCCACATATTTCCCATATGTGTGCATGCACACACCTACACATTTGCCTAATTTGAGTAAAATAGCCCCTGAATAGGCCTGGAGCTTTGCAGTAGTATTTGAACTAATACTGGTTCGTAAGGAGACTAGATGAATAATTATGAGACCCTGACTAAGAGGGAGGTAGTAAAAAAATAAAGGAGGGGAGCACATTTGAAGGATATAGTAGGGCAGGTGAACCCATGGGATGTTCAGGATCTAGTTGAACTAGATTCACTATATGGAAGCTAATGAGGACAATTTACTTTCAAGTTTTGAAAACTGAATGGACATATAACTAACATCATCAACCAAAAGAGAAGAAAAGAAGTACATTTTGGAGAGAAAGAAGCAAGATAAGTTTAGTTTTAAACATATTAAATTTGGTGTTCATGTTAATAAAAGCATGGGTTTGAATTCAGTGTAGGAATTAAAATAAAGTTTGGGGGACATCAATAGCACATAAACAGTTTTGGCAATAGTGGGCATGGACATGAACACCAAAATATAGCAAACAGCTTAAAAAGAAAAATGACCAAGTGATAGAGATACACTAAAAAACCATGAGAGAGTGATAATGTGTTAGATGGAGGAGAGATTTTCAGAAAGTAAAGGTACTCAAAACAAATAGGATCAGAAGAATAAAAATGTTAAAGTTTTCACAATTAGAAAGTCATTAATGATCTGAACAAGACTTGGGTAAGCAGACATGAAGAATTGGAAAAGCAACCATATCATTTTGAAATTTTTATATTAATCTTTTTATCCCAGAATGTAGTGAGGAATTATTCAGAATGAATTTTTACCATTTTACCTCTTTCATATCTTCATAGTGCAAGAAAAGTATTGGGTATTCTTCTTTTTTCTTCCACCAGCTTTTAACATGATTAAACCAGGAACCATAGGCCACTAAAACAAACAAACAAACAAACAAAAATCTATTTCCATAGCATTCATAAAATTAAAGATTTGTTCCTGAAAATAAGTCAAATTGTACAACCATTTTGTGGATGTTAATAATCAAGGGAACTGAGAATGTAAGACCAATTTAACCATGAATTTAAAAATAATCAGATTTTAAAATATAAGGTACAAGGAAGCATTTCAGTTGAAAATACATTTACCTTCATTAGGTTATACTTAGCCTCACATGGAAGGAGACTATTCTTTTTATGAAGTACTCATATCAAATATTTATCTAAGTACTATGAATATGTGTATAACATTTTTTATTAATGGTTTTGACAAGGTAAACAATTTCTATCATGAGCAGAAATTGAGAATGGATTTCTAGCCACTAAAAAGAGGTTAGAGAATATTTTCATTAAGCCAATGTTTTTGTTTTTTATAATATATTTTTATTGATTTCAAAGAGGAAGGGATAGGGAGAGATAGAAACATCAAAAGATGAGAGAGAATCATTGATCCAGCTGCCTCCTGCAAGGCCCCTACTGGGATTGAGCTCCCAACCCAGGCATGTGCCCTAACCTGGAATTGAACCGTGACACTCAACTACTGAACCATGCCGGCCCGGCATGACAATGTTTAACACCAAGTTTATATATTGAATATCATAGGAAAATATTAGACATATTTGATTTAATTTTTTAAATGGTATTTGAATATACTTGTTACTGACTGGGAAAAATAAGTGTTTTAAAAGGAAAAGTCATAGCAGTAATAGTTAATAGTATTATTAAAAATTAAAAATTACTTATTAATTTTAAACCAAGGTCTACCTACCATTTCCAGCCATGAATCTCTCTAGATATTCATCCCAGGTGCCAGGAAGAGGTTGCAAATTATTCATTAAGTCAAAATGATAATATGAGACTGCAACATCCTTGGCATTTCGAGCCAGATAAATCATCTGCAGGAGGAGAAGGAAGAAATGGATGGCATTTTTAAAGAGAAAAATTAACATACAGGCAAAGAAAGCAACATATTTGAAATCTATGAAATGTCTACAAATCAATTTAAAAATTTTAAAAATAAACATACTCATACCATACAATTTAACGATTGAACTACTTGGTATTTAGCCAAAAGAGTTAAAAAATAAGGTAGACAGAAAAATGTGCACATGATTGTTTGTACCAACTTTATTCATAATTGCCAAAACTTGAAAGCAACCAGTATGTCCTTCAGTAGGTGAGCGTAAAAAAACTGTAGTACCTCCAGACAATAGAATATTATTCAACACTAAAAAAAAATTACTATTAAGTCATGAGAAGACATAGAAGAATGTAAAATGCATGATAGAAAAAATACAATCTGTACAGGCTACATACCATGTAATTCCAATTCCATACTGTGTATTTCTCCAAATCCATAGGATATACAACACCAAGAAAAATCCCTAATTATGGACTTTGGGTGATAATGATGTGTCAATGTAGGTCCTCAATTGTAACAAATGTACCACTCTGGTGGGAGATGATGATAATAGAGAATCTAAATGTGTGTGAGGGCAAGATATGTATGGGAAATCGCTTTGACTTCCACTCAATTTTGCTGTGAACTTAAAATTGGTCTAAAAATAAATAAATTTCCTATAAAATAACATATTTTTTTAAAAAAGAATAAGAAGGGAATATTATGAATAGCTTTTCAAGATTTACAAGATTCAACAACTTAGAATTTCTCACACATCACAAACTAGCAAAAGTCAGCTAAGACAAAATAGATCATCTAAATAGCTCCACGATTATTAAAGAAAATGAATTTAAAAATTCTCCAAAACAAATATCCAGCCATAAATGTTTCACCAGAGAATTTTATCAATCACATAAGAACATCCTATGTTGAATTTTCAGAGAAGACCAGTCTACCAGAGACAGCTGGAAAATAACAGCAGCAATATTGTGCTGAGATGAGAATCCTTTTGCTACATAATGTTGGAAACCTTTAGTATGTAGGATTAGATTAAAATAATTGAGCCCTAGGCCAGGGGGCTCAATTGGTTTGGATGTTGTTTCATACACCAAAAAGTTTGCAGGTTCAATTCCCAGTCAGGGCAATTAACTATGTGGAAGGTTCAATTCCCAATTGGGGCACATAAGGTAGGCAATAAGTCAATCTCTCTCTCTCTCTTTCTCTCTCCCTTCCTCTCTGTCTAAAATCAATAAAAAACATAACCTTGGGTGAGGATAAAAATATATTTGAAGCACATTCATTGAAACACTATCTTATGTAGCTCAGTTCTCAAGTAACAAGTAAATAAAACATCTGAGCAATTATTTACTATGTGAGTGAGTCAAGGGTCACATTAAAAAATTGACTGGCACCTTGCAGTTGTTCTTCCAAAAAGACTCAGGAAGGAGATCAATGGGTAGATGTGTCTTCACAAGCCGGGGTGATGGATTCTTCTCTAATTGCTCTACACCTGGGGAAATTTAGTTTGGTATATAGAGATATTAGAGTCTCCAAGGACCCTGCATTTCCTGATTTTCTCAACCAGCCTTTCAAAGTATTTCTGAACAGTATATAATGTTACTAACTTTTAAACTAATCATAGGCATTATTTACCCAGATTCTAAGAGGCGATATTGTATGATGGTTCAGGGCATAGGATATGAGATTAGTCTCCTTGGATTCAAATTCTAACTCTATCACTGACTCACTGTGAGACATGTGAAAGTAGCCCAGTCTCTATGCTTCACTTTCTGCATCTCCAAAATGAGGAGTAAAAATATCAATCTTAGCACTTTGGTTTTATCGTACCTGTGTATGTTATAAATAATTATAAAAATGTTTTCTCTATGTCAAAGAGATATTAATATCTAGTAAGTTTCACATCAACTATAGTTTTACATCAGCTATTATAGTAACGGTGATGTCATTTTTGTATAGCATCAGCTTTTTTTTCTGCATTTTTATTATTTCCTTTATGTGTCATATGCAAAATGAAAATGGTGTGCAACTTTTAGGTGTTAGCTGAATTCCCCAAAGTCATACAACTAATATGTGGTTGAAGTCTTTGAACAAGGGATATATAAACTCCCCTGAGGCAGAAAGTATCCATTTATTTTCTATGTTGAGAATCAGGAGGATCTCACTACATAAGCGACTTGGCCAGTCTGAAGGCACTTGTGGAGTAAAGACAGAGAATTTGTGACATAGGCTAGGAAGAGCTGTGATAACCCTTTTCACTTACTTTTCTCTTAATGGACTTGTGGCCTTTATCATATACCAGATATAGCTGTTACAGATGTCATTTCCTATAGAGTCATCAAGATCTCATTAATTGTCGTCTCCTCTTTCAGGTTTCACAGACAATAAATCATAAAGTCCTATTCACAATATTACTTATATCCAGTCTAACATCTAGATTACCTGTTAATCCTACATTATCTTCCCACCTTTTGTATATGAAGACACACCTGCCCCAAATTTTATCTGACTCACTCATTCAAAGCAATCCTGTTTCACCTGTTTACAAAATTTTATTGCAGATGCTAAAAAGTCACCCAGTATCTCTCTACTAAAACATCCTTTTAAAATGTTCTATATAGCACTTATTTTTGTTTCATCATCCATTTACCATTTGTTTATTGTCAGTTCTCACGTGTCTTCCTTGTCACCACCCCAAACACACAGGGATAGTGTTTGTTTTGTTTACCAACAAATGCTTTCTAGAGAGTAGTGCATAGCACATGGTTGTATTAAGAAAACCCCTTAATATCAATGAAGATAGAATTGGAAGACTTAGAACAGCAGTTCTCAACCTGTGGGTCTCGACCCCTTTGGGGGTCGAATGACCCTCTCACAGGGATCGCCTAAGACCATCGGAAAACACATATATAATTACATATTGTTTTTGTGATTAATCACTATGCTTTAATTATGTTCAATTTGTAACAATGAAAATACATCCTGCATATCAGATATTTACATTATGATTCATAACAGTAGCAAAATTACAGTTATGAAGTAGAAACAAAAATAATTTTATGGCTGAGGGTCACCACAACATGAGGAACTGTATTAAAGGGCTGCAGCATTAGGAATGTTGAGAACCACTGAATTAGAAAATAAAGATGCAGAAATTCTGGTTAAATTTGAATTTCAGATTAACAACAGATGCCTTTTAGTATAAGTATCTCCCATGTAATATTTGAGATATACTTATCTAATCTAATAAAAGAGAAACACGCAAATTGACCGCACCTCCGATACACCCCCAGCCACGCCCCCTAGCCAATAGAGTGACTATATGCAAATTAACCCAACCAAGATGGCGGCTGGCAGCCACAGAGCTGGAGCAAGCAGGAGGCTTGGTTGCCCCAGCAATGGAGGAAGCCAAGCTTCCCGCCTGCCCTGGCTGGCTGTGGCCTCCGCTCAAGGCAACAAAGTTTCAATTATAGAAGAAATAAATCCCAGATACCTGCTTCCAGCCAGCCTCCACTGGGAGCTTGGGTGGCTGGGGGCCGTGGCCAGCCTGCAAACAGCCATCAGCCCCTCACCCAGAATGGCCACACCCTCATGGGGTGAGGGTCCTTGCTGGGGGGCTTTGCCGTCCTGCAAACAGCCATCAGCCCCTCACCCAGGCTGGCCAGTCACCCCAGCAGGGACCCCCACCCTGAAGGGGCTTGGCCAGCCTGCAAACAGCCATCAGCCACTCACTCAGGCTGGCCAGGCACCCCCGCGGGACCCTCCTCCCTTAAGGGGGTGTGGCCAGTCTGAAAATGGCTCTCAGCCCCTCACCCAGGCTGGCCAGGCACTCCAGCAGGGACCCCACCCTGAAGGGGGTGTGCCCAGTCTGAAAATGGCCCTCAGCCCTCACCCAGGCTGTCCGGGCACCCCAGTGGGACCCCCACCCTGATCCAGGACACCCTTCAGGGCAAACCAGTCAGCCCCCACCCATGCACCAGGCCTCTATCCTATATAATGAAGGGATAATATGCAAATTGACCCTAACAGCAGAACGACTGGTCACTATGACACACACTGACCACTAGGGGGCAGACGCTCAATGCAGGAGCTGCCCCCTGGTGGTCAGTGCGCTCTCACAGGGGGAGCTCTGCTCAGCCACAAGCCAGGCTGACGGCTGCCAGTACAGTGGTGGAGGGAATCTCTCCTGCCTCCTCAGCAGCGCTAAGGATGTCCGACTGCAGCTTAGACCTGCTCCCTGCTGGCAAGTGGACATCCTCAGAGGGCTCCCGGGCTGCCAGAGGGATGTCTGACTGCCAGCTTAGGCCCAATTCCCCTGGGAGCAGGCCTAAGCCAGCAAGTGGTCACCCCCGAGGGGTCCCAGACTGTGAGAGGGCACAGGCCAGGCTGAGGGACCCCCTACCCCTGAGTGCACAAATTTTTGTGCACCAGGCCTCTAGTACTAAATAAAATTGTTATCTGAATTTCAGATTCAATTGGGTATCCTGAATTTTATAAGAAAAAATTAATTATACATCTATAAAATTCCTATTTCATTATGCTTCTACTGACCTGGTAGTTACAGCCACTTTACTCAGCATATAGAAATGAGAGATCATAACATTCCACAACTCACTATTCCTCAGTGCCATGACATGAACTCATGTTTATTTCTTTTGTGGAGTTTTCCCACATTGTTGCTCCTTTTCCCTTCCTCAACTTTCTTCTGTCTTGTAATTGTTTTGCCATTGATATCCTTTAAATGAACCCTTTGCATGCACAAATATAAATGTTGGGAATATGTAATGACACCACAAGTATTCACATTCAGGCTCCAGACTAAATCTGAGTGCCAGTTTATCCTCCTTTACCTGGTGTACCTCACCTGCTCACTCTCCAGCAATGCTACACAGCCTTACTAATCACCTCCAGCCCCCATCTCCCACAAATAGTCCCCAACTCCCCTATTCCCGATTACTTTGATTCTACCACTTTCTTATTTCATACTTTTCTATGGCCCTCTAGTCTTAGGTCACTCTAACACTCATTTGGTTGCTTGTCCTTCAGTTCCAAGCTTTAGCATTTGCCCTCTGACTTCAGGCAACCACACAGGAAAAAGGACACATGCCCAGTTGGTCTTTCTCTGCCTGTGTAAGCAACTAGCTCCAGTAGGCGATAGCATTTGGATTCTGCTCTTTAAATTGATGTACAATTTCTTCACTGTACTTATTCCGGGCTTCCAACAGCACTAGAGAGTCAGGCCTCACTTCTTAATACCTCTCACTTGCCTTCAGGACATCATACTTTTCTGATTCTCTCTCAGCTCACTGTTTCTTTCCTTTTTTTTTTAAATAAATCTTTATTGTTCAGATTATTACAGTTGTTCCTCTTTTTTTCCTCCCAAAGCTCCCCTCCACCCAGTTCCCACCCCACCCTCTGCCCTTCCCCTTCCCCTCACTGTCCTCATCCATAGGTGTACAATTTTTGTCCAGTCTCTTCCCTCA